AAAAAAAAGAAGAAACATTTGAATAAGATTTGTGTCAGAGGTCTCATTCACAATACTGAACAATAGGCAACAAAGACAATACCTTCAAAGCCCTCAATCACAATGATTTTCAACCTGGAATTCTCGGCTCAGACAAACTGGTCATAATGTGTCAGGGTGAAATAGAAATATTTTCAGAAGCTTACAATGTTTGAAAATTAGCCTTTCACATTTTCTCTTGGAAAAACATAGCCAATCAATATGATAAGTAATGTTTCTTCTACTTATAAAACAAACCAAACAACGACAAAAAACAAAACATTATAAATAGGCACATGAGTGGAGAGACAAAAAAAGCATTACCTGAAGATGGGGCAAACAGAAATGTGGCATGCTTTCGAATAGGGAGAAAAATAATGTTTGATTTTAGTACTAGAAACAGTCTTAGACCATTCTTAGAATGGTCTGTGGTTTTTGGTATGGGATCACATACCCAGTGTCATGGTCTGCAGCTGTGACAAATAAGGGTGACACAATTAAAATTAGCATTTACTGGGTATTGGATTTCATTTCAGAATCAACCAAATTTGGTTTGTGGTCCAGGCTGGCCTCAAACTCATGGAGAGCCTCCTGTCTCAGCCTCATAAGTACTGAGATTACAGGCACGCACCGCCGTGCCTGTCTTGAAGCACTAAATATTGAACTACAGTAAAGAAATGCAAACATAATGTGGCAACTAAACATTTGGAAACTGAAGTGGGGAGAGAGAGAGAGAAATAGAAGGACAAAAAAAGGCATCCTCTTGAATTGTGGAAAATCCAGACGTATGTCTAAAGGTGATAACTGAAGAAACAGATTTGGGGATGGTACTTAAAGTTATAGGCTCTCAACTGAAAAATCAAGAAGAAAAGTATTACTAAAACAGGAATAGGGAGAAGAGAAGAAGAGCAATGTGTTAAGTCAGATAAAATCCTCATCAGCGCTAGCAAGAAAGGAACCGAGTATCACAAGGGTCAAAAAAATGGCTGCCTTCCCTTCTTTGTGTTACTTTTGAAACTTATTTCTACAGAGAGAAAAAAAATTTAAGATTGAAGAATGTTTAAGTAAGCCAATACTATGAAATTTTATATGGCTGTTAAAAGTAACATGTAAGGGCCAGGGATTTAGCTCAGTGGTTCCAGTGCTTGTCTTGCCTTGCCTTGATCCCCTGTACCAAAAATTATAATAATATGTAAATTGTGATAGAGAAAAATTTAACTATATTGCTAAGTTTTTAAAGGCAAGTTGTAGAAAATGAAATGATCCTCTTTATATTTAACATAAAATACAACTAGATATATATGGGAAAACATCTAAAAGGATTCTATCTATATTATTAACCTATTATTTCCAGGGATGAGAACAAAAATAGAGATAGGAGTGTAAGGGAGACTCACTTTTTACCTTACATGATGCTATATCACCTGACTTCCCTATAGTAAAAATTAATTTTTTAAGATTTTTTTCCATTAAAAAAGAAAAGTTACAAGAGCCACTAATCCAAGCCAGAAAAGTGAGCGCCAGTTTGTCTGGAACCAAGATGTCTCCAGCTTATAGTGTGGACACATCCTACATACCTCCATTGATCCTTAAAGAACCAAATCTCGATTTAACAATTGTGAAAATATAAGAAAAGGAAAAATAAAAAGTAGTAAGAGGACCAAATGTTTCGGATTTCTCCGAGAGAGCCAGGAGTGAGAAACAGTGTCCTATAGCTAAGCTCCCTTTGGAGAGAGGAGCACCCGGTGCCCATCCTTCTCCTGCACCCACAAGGCCCAACCCAAGCTCCAGGCACCTGTTAAAGGAACAAACCAGATCACGCAGGAGTATCAGGAAAGAGGAAGCGAGGAGGGAAACAGTGGAGAGGGGCTGGAAAAGAGAGAATGTTGATCATTATTTAAGACTGGAGCCCTTTGATAAACAGAAGGTGAGACAGAGAGAGAGAGAGATGCCAGGATAACTCCAAATTCAAAAAAACTTTCAAATTTCTGATCGGAGGGCAAGCTCCAAATAGGCCAAGGACTACTGCAGGGAGAATAGGGCAGGAGGAGACATATAATAAACTGCTTTTTGTGTGTGCAAAAGGAACAATAGCATTTAAAAATCTATGCACACAACTTAGTACTAAATTCTGGCCATGGTCTTTAAGAATCATTCAGGAAATAAACCTGTTTCTCAGATGGGCTGTAGTCTCCTAAAAGGTCAGGGCAGTGACATTATCAGTATAGTGCTTTATGCCAAGTGACTATAATAGTGCATCATGTTCCACAGACTTTTCTAGGAGCTGTGTGTGTGTGTGTGTGTGTGTGTGTGTGTGTGTGTGTGTGTGTGTGTTCTGGTAGTGTGGACTGAATCCAGGAACACTCTGCCACTGAGCTATACACCCAGACCTTTTTTATTTTTTATTTTGAGACCGATTCTTAAAAATATAAAAAGTAGTAAGAGGACCAAATGTTTCGGATTTCTCCGAGAGAGCCAGGAGTGAGAAACAGTGTCCTATAGCTAAGCTCCCTTTGGAGAGAGGAGCACCCGGTGCCCATCCTTCTCCTGCACCCACAAGGCCCAACCCAAGCTCCAGGCACCTGTTAAAGGAACAAACCAGATCACGCAGGAGTATCAGGAAAGAGGAAGCGAGGAGGGAAACAGTGGAGAGGGGCTGGAAAAGAGAGAATGTTGATCATTATTTAAGACTGGAGCCCTTTGATAAACAGAAGGTGAGACAGAGAGAGAGAGAGATGCCAGGATAACTCCAAATTCAAAAAAACTTTCAAATTTCTGATCGGAGGGCAAGCTCCAAATAGGCCAAGGACTACTGCAGGGAGAATAGGGCAGGAGGAGACATATAATAAACTGCTTTTTGTGTGTGCAAAAGGAACAATAGCATTTAAAAATCTATGCACACAACTTAGTACTAAATTCTGGCCATGGTCTTTAAGAATCATTCAGGAAATAAACCTGTTTCTCAGATGGGCTGTAGTCTCCTAAAAGGTCAGGGCAGTGACATTATCAGTATAGTGCTTTATGCCAAGTGACTATAATAGTGCATCATGTTCCACAGACTTTTCTAGGAGCTGTGTGTGTGTGTGTGTGTGTGTGTGTGTGTGTGTGTGTGTGTGTGTGTTCTGGTAGTGTGGACTGAATCCAGGAACACTCTGCCACTGAGCTATACACCCAGACCTTTTTTATTTTTTATTTTGAGACCGATTCTCAGTGTCACTAAGTCACTAAATTGTCCAGGCTAGACTTAAACTTGAGCCTGCAATCCTCCTGCCTCAGTCTCCCAAGTGCTGGAATTACAGACACATGCTATCAAACTGGATTTTGCTTCCCATGTATTATGTAAATCAATGTTCCCCCAACTCTTGTAAGCTACCTCACTTTTATTACTCCTATTTTACAGATAAAGGAGCTGATCTCATCCCAGTTAATATACCTAATATGTTTTTTATACTCTTTGAGCTTCATGATAAGTGGTTTCTGAAGACTTTCAAAAACAGGTAGCATTCTGACAACCATACACATTTAATAGCATTTAATACTTTGTTTAGTTACATATGGGGCTGCTGTGGTATCGGAGTCTTGAATGCCAGATATTAAAACTTCACTGTTACCAGATGACTGTTATTACCGGATACGGACCAATATCAAGTTGTTACGAAATGTTGCTGCTGATCTGTTACCAGTGTCATCTGGCACGTATTCTGTGTGTGTAGTGAAAGGAAATGTTTTCTTTCTCAGCTTGGTGTTAGAGACAATGATGAGGAAGAGCCTGACGAGGATGAGGACGACATTGAGAACATACTTGAAGCGTTTACAAAAGATGAGCGAGGAAGATGAGCAGGAAATCGATGCAGTTGAACGCCTGAGAAGTGAACTGGGAGAAAAATTTGAAACAGATATGAATATTTTACAAATGATACAGGTTAGAACTTTTGCTTCATTTTTTGTAATTCAAAATGTAACATTTGAGCATGAAACCAAAGCAGACTGACTGATGCCTCCTTTCAAGATTAGATTTCAAAAGAAGTATATATTTTAGGGCTGTATTCCTTTGTCAGTACCACTTAATTAAAAAAACAATTCCATAAATCAAGAGTGGCCACAAGCTCTCACAGGGTTGGAGTAGGGTGAGCTGCCAGCACTCAGCCACTTGCCCACTGAAAATTTCTTGATCCAGTCTACCAGTCTATTTGTTTTGATTGGTGAATTGAGACCATTTACATTGATGGTTATAACTGATATGTATTGACTTATCCTTGTCATGTTATTGACTTATCCTTGTCATGTTATTTTCCTGATGTTGGTTCCCTTTATTTTCCCCCTCTGTTTAGTTACTTGCCTTGCCTGGTGGACTCATTCTGTTGGGGTTCATGGAGTTGTAGTCCTCATTACCTGTTTCTAGAATGTCCTTCAGAACCTTTTGGAGTGCTGGTTTGATGGTCATGAATTTCTTCAGGTGTTGTTTGTTGTGGAAGTATCTTACTTCCTCAACAATTCTGAAAGATAGTTCTGCAGGGCACATCAATCTGGGTTGGAGGTTGTTTTCTTTTAGGGCTTGAAATATTTCACTCTAACCTGTCCTTGACTTGAGCATTTGTGTTAAGAAGTCTGCTGTGATTTTGATAGAATTTCCTTTATAAGCGATTTGTTTCTTTTCTCTAACACCTTTTAATATTCTATTCTTGTGTTGCATTTCAGGAATCTTGATTATTATATGCCTCAGTGTAGTTTTCTGTTTGTTTGCTTGTTTATTTGTTTGTTTGTTAGATAGGATCTTGCTATGTAGCCCAGGCTAATCCCAGGCTGGTCTCAAACTTGTGGAAATCCTCCTGCCTCAGGCTCCTGAGTGCTGGGATTATGGGCCTGGGCCACCACACCTGTCTAGATTTCTTTTTTTAATCGCAGTTAATTGGAGTTCTATGTGCCTCACTTATCTGTATGTCAAATTATTTTTCCATGCTTAGAAAGTTTTCTACCATTACTTCTGTGAACAGGTGTGTGTCATTTGCTCTATCTCCTACTTTTTCATTGACTCTTAATCTTATGTCATTCTTCTTTGCATCATCTAGCAGTTTAATTGATTTATCATAGTCTCTTGCTTTTTTTTTTTTTTTTATCCAGGGATCGAACTTGGGACCTTGTACTTACAAGGCAGGCTACATCCCAGGCCCTCTTGCTATTTTTAAGAAATCTTTGTTTTCATGATCACTAACCACAATCCTATCTTCTATATCTGATATTCTGTCCTCACAGTGGCTCATTCTGCTGTATATACTTTCAATGGTATTTTTAATCCTGGATGTCTGTTTGAATCTGATTAATGGATTCCATTTCTTTCCTATGTCAAGTATTCCTGGTTTACATCATTTTGCTAAGCTCCTCTTTTTTTTTTTTAATGTGTATCTGCTCTAGAGTCACTAACCATGTCTTACATTGTGATCATCATCTCTGTAGTTATCTGAGAGATTATTTCTGATTTTATTTTTTTCTAGAGCTTCATTCATCTGCTTTGTTACTTCTGCTGTTACCACTTCAGAAAGTCCAGGTGGGTGGCTTTCAAATTATACCACCTCATTGCCCCCTAGGTTTGCTTTTGGAGAACTGGAAGTCTTGAGTCGCATCTTATTTAAGTGTATTCTTATTTTTGGTTTTTTGTTGTTGTTGTTTTTTTAAGTTTAATTACTGAGTTGATGGTTGTAACCATGCACCACCATACCTACCTTTTTGTGTATACTTTTAAAATGTCAAAAAAATTAAAAGATAATCACTCAGTGAAATATCTGCAATATAAGACAACTAAAAGGTTAAAGTACTTATATGTAAAGGCATCATCATGATAATAGCTGACACGTTAGGCACTTGGCATCCTTGTAAGCTCTTTACAAATACTATGTACATTCTTACAAATTAGAAAAATGTTCGTATCCCAAGGTTCAGAGGCAGTTCTAAAAGAAATTCAAATGATCAAGACAAATATGTATAATTTTACAATAATTAAATATTTTCTTCTGACTTTAACCTATCACAAAAAATTGAAGATTGTCATTAACTATTGAACCTGTTACTGATGGTGCAGCGAGATGTCTGATTTCTTAAATTGCTAATTGGGGTGTAACTTTAAAAAGTCCTTCTAGGGCTGGGGATTTAGCTCAGCGGTTCGGTGGCCTGCCTTGCAAGCCCAAGGACCCAAGTTTGATCCCCAGTAGCCCCCCAAAAAATGATAGCTAGAAAATAAGCCACCAATAGGTGTGTAGATACATTCATTGCAGAGTATGATTAATTGTGGAGTAATGGAATACTAGTCAGCAACAGAAGGACTGATTATTCATACATACAACTACGTGAATGAATCTTAAAATATTATGCAGAGCAAAAGCCAAAAAAAGGACAAAAAACTGTTTACATCTATTTATGTGCAGTTCTAGAGGAGGTAAATAAAGCACTAATCTGTATGCCTCTGAGGTAGATCCAGACATTTTCTTACAAGGCTGTTGTTTTGTCTTTGGTTTCTTTTTGTTGCTGTTGTTGTCTCACTGTGTTGCCCAGACCGGGCTCTGGGCTTAGGACCCTCTAGCCTCAGCCTCCCCAGTAGCTGTGGTTACAGGTGGGCACCCTGCCTGTGCCTTTGCTCTGTGTCTCGGTGGAGTACACACTAACCTATGGTTAGTGGTGTCAAACTCATCCCTTTTACGCACTTCCTGCTCAGACTTCAGCTGAGAAGATTCCATGTTAATTATACCTCAAAAAATCCTATTTTCCCAGCACTCGGGGTCACTGCACGTTTGAGGCCAGCCTGGCCTGCAGGAAGACACTGTCTCCAAAAAAGACCAAAAAGCAAATCGTATTTTCCAAGAAGATTTAATAAAATAGGCAAAATACTCACTTTAGAGTTTTAATTGGAAAGAAGAGCCATAACAAGGCTGTGTACACACTCCATTTATGTAAAACAAAACACATGAAAGGAACCAGAGATAAATGGATCAAAGGGACAAGATGGATGTAATGAACCTGTACTTTCATAGCAAAAAATAGTAATTATTCTTAAATTATTCTCACTCCATGCCAAATTCCCTTTTTCTCTTTACAATCTAGTTTGGGCTTTTCAGCTCTTCAAATTCAGAATTTGTATGTCCTATACATCTAATGACCTGCTGCACTGTCCCGCCAGGAGGCTGGGCTGGAGTTCTGGGATCTCAAGGTTTGCTGGGAGCCGCACTACAAGCAGGATTGCTGACTGACGGCCACCCACCCACGTTTGCAATGGGCCCCTAAATGGGATGGTGGGTCTTTCTGCACTGATGGCTGTGGGCAGCCTCTACCCGTGAGCTTTTCGTGTGGAAAGCCCCAGAGTGAGTTACTGTATTGGCCCAAACCGTCAGGTGAGGCTCTAGGGCTTACCACGATGGACAGTGGCACTTCTGTCACTTCTGGAAATTCTAAGGCCACTTAGACTTATAGTTTACCCCTCAGGAACTGGGACAAAGTCACCTCTCTTTGAGCAGGACCAAATTCTTCCTACGGTGTGATTACGTCAAAAGTGTCCTCCCTTCCCCTAGACTCTGAGCTCCCAAAGTGCCTCCCAGTTCCACCCCGGGCATACAGCATAACCGTCTATGCTGTGCAATGTGGATTTGAGTGCGAGACCATCTGAACCTGCATCTCGGCTCGTCTTTTCAATAACCGGGTGATCTCAGACAGATTACCTAGCCTCTGGCCTAACAGGCTTCCCCTGCATGTTGGGGAGAGGTCATGTGTACGTCAGGGTGCTCCACTGATAGAGCGAATGCACATCAGTGATGTTCCCAGGACAGTGCGTGCGTGGCAGTAAAAAGTAGACAAATGTTCAATGCTATTAAATGCTCAATAAATAATGACTGATGAAATAAGTGGCACATGAGAAGTGCTCAGTAAATATTTACTAAAACAACAGGAAGTAAGATCTCCTTAGTAGATTTCCCAATTAATATAGTACCAGATGTGCTGATGTGGACGGACACGCCATTAATTACTCAAAAGATTATAGCTCACTGATAGGCTTTAAGGAAAAAGAAGGAATTTCAGAGCAAGGAGTACCTCAGCCATTTACTGAAGAGCTGAACCAGACAGGGTTGAAGGTCTCTGTCAACTCCAAAAACGTTATTTGTCCTTAGGAAACAAACTAGATAAAACAACAGGGAAGGCCATTTACGTGGAGGCCTGGTTTCCAGTAACAGACAAAAGTCAACAGAATATTCAGATGATTACAAAAATTTGTCTAACGTTTGACAACATAGGTTGGAATTGCAGCAGTACATTTTCATCAATTTGATGGAATTTGACGCCTGGTAAACCACAACAAAGGTCATAGAAAATGTAAGTGAATCTGTGAGAAATGGCTAATTTTATCTTGGCATTCATGTTGGCCTAATGTGAGCGTCTAGAAAGTGACTGATTAAAAAAAAAAAAATCAATGTTGTCTCTAAACCAAATATTTATTCAACACCTTCAAATAATACTAGCAATTAGAGAAAAGTCACCTTTTTGAGATGTTCTTTTTAGTTTCAAAGTAATGCATGTTCACTTGAATACAATAACAAACTGTTTTCAAACTCCAGTTATTGCACCATTTAACAAGGAAAAACAGTTTCCCGAGCCGCGGCAACCCCAGGCGCGGCCCGCTTCCGCT